CCTGGTGGAATTGTTATTGCGCGGGATGCGCCTTACGGGCGGGGGGAGTAATGTCAGACTCTATTCCATGTTTTGTGTGTGTTTTGCTCCTTGTGTTTCTATGCCCCCTTCCCGTTCTTCCCGTTCCTGTCCTTATCATTTGTTCCAGGTGTTCCCAGTTCAGTTCTTTTGATCCCTCGTCATCTCCGTTCCTGTCCTTATCATTTGTTCCAGGTGTTCCCAGTTCAGTTCTTTTGATCCCAGGTGTGTCTCGTCATCTCCATGTCTTGGTTATATAAAGTGTTTCCTGTTCTTAGTACGGGGTCCGGTATTGTAATGTCAACCTCCTCTGCTACATGTTTTCCAGGTTCCCTTGATGTCATTAAAGTCTCCTTGTTGATGTACTCCACATCTCTTCGTTCCTCGCTCCGCACTCCCTCACAGTAGTGAACGTGACAACACAATTAATGAGGCATCTATAAATGGGGCATCTTCGTCCTCAATAAATCCTAAAAAGGTTTTATGACATATATTAAATGTAATGTTAAATAGCTCTAATGACTATTTTTTATCTAATAGAAGAATCAGTATCATTATAGGTATCGATGATACTAGCCTTGATAGTAAAAAAAAAATTGCATTAAAAATATGATTTAACATATACTCTCTTTATGTCGATCCTACATTAATTTTGGAATTCAATACATATTATTACAAATTTTAATATCAGGTGGCATTTATTGCACCTAACATGACTATGCATGATTAATCACAAAGAACTGTGATTAATTTGGTACAATTGTTAATTTAATAGAATAGAAAAAATGACGCTATTTTGCTATAAATGCAATATCATACAAACATTTTAGGAATGAGGCTTAAGTGTCAAAAACACTTTGTGAGCAGTTAGGAAAGAAATTGCTCTGCATTATTCAGGTGAAATGAAGCCAGGTAGGCAGCACAGGGAAGTAGGCCAGTCATGATAACTCCACTTTTAGAAGGCATAGTAACTAAATGAGACATATTTAGCTCTGCAGCTCACCTGGAGGAGCACAGTTCATTAGCACACACACATAATTATATGTGTTTCATGGGTTTATTTCATAGGCTTAATGGTTTTTCTACTGTGCAAACTGTATTTTCTGTCCCCTTACACTAACCCTACACCTAAACCTACCCCTCACACAAAACTACAGGCATGTTTACATTCTCAAAACATTTCATTCTGTGTGATTTATGAGATTGTTTCCTCATGGGGACCAAAAAATGTCCCCAAAATTTACTGGTATTACTATACTTGTAGGTCTTCATAATGTACACACTCACACACACACACACACATCTGAAAGCCTCACTCCGCTGGAGTCTTTATACTGTACATGACAGTAGCAGATGTAACATATCTAATGCATTGTGTTTTGCTAGCATATGCCACAGGCACTAGCAGGGTGTCTTGAGAAATTAAATTGAAATATGAAACGCACTGTAGGAGAAGAGTCATGCAATTCTGTTCACTTTCACATTCACTTTAGCGAGCTGTCAGCTTTCATTGCACCGATCTGAGTGTTATATTCATCCAAACTTTTTTTTTTTTTTTTTTTTTTTTTAGCATGGTGTTCTTTGTAGCATTTTGGAGTACCATTGCAATATAGTATATAAATATGATAATGTTACACCAGTGCTCAAAACTCTCTTCTGCTCACCAAAGATGCATTTATTTGATAAAAAATACAGTAAAAACTGTGAAATATTATTATAATTTAAAATAGCTGTTTTCTATGTGAATATATGTTAAAAAGTACTTTATTTCTGTGATCAAATCAGAATTTTCAGCATCATTACTCCAGTCTTCAGTGTCACATGATCTTCAGAAATCATTCTAATATGGTGATTTGCTGCTCAAGAAACATTTCTGATTATTATCAATGTTGAAAACAGTTGTGCTGTTGAATACTGATTATGTAATTAGTATAACAACACCAATTCAGCTTCTCATTTCTGCTCTGAGTTTGAGAGAATGAGGAGATTTTCTGCTGGTTTTCCTCCTCAATCGTGGATCAGTGTGTAAGTCGACAGTGTTTTGACCTTCACATTGTTCTGTTCCTCTGTTTCTCCCTCAAACAGCTGAGACGAAGGTTTGCTTCAAATATTATCATGGTATGAGTGGAGTGCTCAGAGCCACAACGCCCAGCGTGACGGTGCAAAACCCCTCTGCCAATGTGAGTAAACACACACACTCAGATTCACATACACACACACTCTCTCAGATACACCCACACATACACACACACACACCCACTCAGATACACTCACACATGCACACACACACTCACACTCACTCATACACACATACTCACACACTCTCTCAGATACACACCTACACACACACACACACTCA